AACTATCTTCATATTCTCCGAGAAATTTCTAAACAAATGTTGATAAATGATATAGTGCACATTTTGTGTGGATGAATCAGTTTACTTCTTAGATTTAAAAACAATCTTTCATTAGAAATGACAAGCATGCAGCTTTCAGTGAAAAAATATAGCCATCATTGGAAAAAGAACTTTCAAAATATCTATCAATTTTTAATTGTTTCAAATCATGAATATCAAGAAAAATTTGCCTCCGTCAATGGTATAAGTATATTACATAAAATTTCAGGAAATAGATATCAGGGTTGTATGGCACAGGCATATACATAATTTATATGTAAGTGATTAAATGCTATCAAAATACTTTCTGCATGTGTACAGAAAGACACAAATGTTTACTTTTGATTGATGCAGTTTTGAGCTCTAAAATGTCAATTCTCAAAAATATCATTATTGCAAGAAATGGATCTAAAGCAGATTTGGAATCAACATTACACTTTGCACCTTTACCAAATTTGTTTGTCTTCCTTTACTTATTCGTTTTAATTGATATACTGTCTCTGTAAAGTTGTCAAATGATCCTCAGTTCAAAACTCTTAGTAATCAATAACATTTTCACAATACAGTTGTAAGCTCTTAAGTAAGCAGCACTCAGCATATTAAATAACAGACTGTGTGAAAGCTGTGTTTTAATAGAAAAAAAATTAAAGCAAGATAATAAAATGACAAAACAGTAAAGAACTTAGAACCTAAAAATTTTACAAAAGTTTTGTAAAATTATGACAACTCTAAGCAATAAATAAGACGTTTGCATTTTCCAAACATCAAATTTACCTCATTGCTTTGTTCAATATATATTAGTATTTGGCACGTTTCTTTAAACTTAGCTACCATGAGGCTAAGCTATTTTGCTTTGTTTCTTAGATATAAATATCAATTTCGTAATTCATTTATAAGGTGCCATCATCTGGAAAAATCGTAGTTAATTTGTTCATAACCGTTAACAAAAGAGCAGCTTGATGCTTTTATACAAAGGTGTCCATAACTTTTCTTAAGTTGGTCACTCCTTTCTGTTTGGAGGAGGCTGCCTCATTAAAGACGGAGTTTGGGTGAAATCCATATGTCATCCATTTGAGAGAAAAAGTTTACTGCCATGCTGGCAGAACAGGTAAAAATAATAATTGTTAGAAACCAGATTAATTTTCACGATCTTCGAAGACTGTGGAACATATTTATCCACGTTGTCACTTCCAGCAGGATAACCATTTTCATGAAGTCACGAATCAATCTTGAATTTCACTATCCTGTTAAAACGTTTTTATAAAATTTATTCAAATGTGTCTTTGTAGCTATTTTGTGTTAAGACGTATGTTTCTAGACTTAAAAAGAAAAAAGCGTTTTCTTTAGATTAGTACTATAATTAGAAATGAACCGAGATTTCTTTTTACTTCATGTTGACGCATGACGTTGTTTGAACTGCAAACCTCTTCAAAACGTTATCTTGTATTTAAGAAGAAAAATTCTCAAAATTTCTGAATTGCCATAAGCATTTATCATATTGTTTTCAAAGTCATTATATTCTTTAATAAAACCGAAGTTATAAGCGGAGAAATAAACTCGTTCATTTACAGGAGAGAAATATATTCCTACAACATGAGAAGTAATTGAAAATGTTAGTTTGGTTGCTGTTTATTACCCAGTGTATTTAGGCGTATTGAAAGTCAATGCAACCTGCCAGCTTCATGCAATTGTTTGTTTTAAAACCTTGGGAAAATTTAGCTGTGTCTCGTCTCTCATGTTTTCTAAAGTACATTTTTCATTAATTACGTAGCTTTGCATGATTTATAAAATTAGCTCCTTAGAAAAATTTGCAAAACAAACCTCCTTAACGTCATCATCGTTCTTGTAATATATGTTTATGATGTCAGTAACAAATTTTAATGGCATTCCATAGGCTCGTGGCATCTTCTCTGTAGTAAAACAGAAGATCATCTCTTCTTGAAAACTTCTTAAATCCAAATCACCAGGAGAAGGTCAAGCTTCTGTAGTATTTTTGCATCAACTTAATGTGACCACCACCAATACTAAGCACTTGATCTGCAAGTACCACTTCAGGAATCAGTGATTTACGTCCCAGCGTATTGATGCCATGATTCCCTTTGTGTGAGATACAATAATTTCCACAGGATGAACTGATGGGAGATTTCTCACGCTGAAACAGCGGTTTCCATCATTAAATAACAACGCAGGCAAATGAGATATCATCTTAAATTAAAGATTGCTTAACATTAAATCAAGACATTAACGATAACTTTCTTATAGTAAATAAATAACAGTTGCCTTCTTCGTAATCTACAGTAATAGAGTATCTTCTTACATGCTACTATTTTGCCTTGATAGATTTGCTTACCACTTAATCAATGAATTATAACGACGTGTCTAGCCAACGAAAAGTCATAAAATAATGAATAATATGCTATATGTCCTGTTTACCACGATAACATAAAAGGTGTAACAACTTTTATCATCATGTACATGAGCAAAGCCTTTACCAATGTCATTTGATCGCTTCAGGGAAGCTTTTAATTTTTGTTTCATAGACAGTCAGATCCCTTGTATCCTGTTCTCCTTAAGTGCACATAACAGGACCTTTAAAAAATTGCACAAACTACTCTGAAAGTATTTATCGTAAACTGCTGTGAAGTATTTAGTATTAAAATTGTCTTATTTTACATCCGTCTTTATTGCATAGTTTTTGTTGAGGAATAGTACATAACATGACTGTCCTTAAATTTCCTAGAGTCAGACTATAAAGCACACAGAGAAGTGTACCAAGTAGACTGTACATTGCAACGGTAAGCATTTCATTTGGATTATTTTTAATTCAACTTGTCAGTTATAAAAAGTGATGATATAATTCAACTTTATTGAACCAGCTACATGCACATCAGCTGGCGAAGCTACAGATGCTTTGTGTTAGGCATTTGTATAAATTAAGTGGATTATTAATAGTGATTGTAAACAAATGTTACATACTTGATGATATTGTGTGTCAGCACAACGAAGCCACAATTTTGCATGCCAATCCCATTGAGTATCTTCTGAGGGATACCATATTGGATTGTCATTGAAACCGTTTGATCCAACTGGATGGCAATGGGTACCAAGTCGTCATTCTTTCTAAGATAAAATAAACCTAATGGTGCTGTCAGGTAGCGCACTTCACCAGGTTTCTTCATCGTTGGAATACCCTCAAGAATCTTGTAATCAACAATATAAGATAAGCCGTCCTTTATATGAAATAAAACAAAATTTCATGATATTTTAATATTTTGCAGTTTTCGCGGTCTTCCTTAAAACTGTACATAACACAAATTCAAACACAATTTCTGAAAAACATAGTGAATATCAACATAAAATTTTCATTGAACCGTTACGCAAAAACGTTATAAATAAAATGTCTTTTTTATTTTGACGTTTTGTCTTTAACAAGATTTCTTCAAACATAAAAATATGTTAACTTATGAACAAATCGTCATCGAGAAAAAAAAAAAAAGGTTTACATTTGATATGCATAATGGCAATATTAACATACATGTTTTAGAGTGAAAATTTCCAAAATCGTGATATCTGTCGCTATTTTTTTCAAACTTAATGGTTCTGACCAAGAAAAATTTACCATTAATGACATATTTTATTAATGGTTACAATATAGAAGGTTGGCTGACAAGTAAAACTTTGAAATAAATGTTTGAGCACGGGTATATCGTTACGTTTGTTGATATAGATCGTGCAGGTTACTAAGTCCTGAGAATGAGTGATGTTAACTATCGTTTGTCAACATTATAGCGGTAGTCATTATAGAGTAAATTACTAATGCAAAAAAAAAGTAGAAAGATGATCAATGATAAAACATGTATACGACTGCTTTTAGAGTGAGATATTGTCGAAATTGATTTACAGATCTCCAAAGATTTGATGAAAAAGAACCTGCCAAGGGCAATATTATAGAGGTAAATTATGTGCCGAAAAGGGAGTAGAAAGATGATCAGTGATAAAACATGTATACAACTGTTTTAGTGAGATATAGTCATTGATTTTGAATCTCAAAAATTTGATGAAAAACTTTGCGGGCAAAGTAAAATCTGACGATGTGGCTAGAAGCTAAAAGTGATACAAAATAGAAAACTTAATTTTGCAAGTTTTAACTTTTTGTTCTCTGCAATGGTAAATACTTACATGTATTTCTTTTTTAATGATGAATTTTTGATTTTTAATGCAAAAGGGAACTTTTACTAAATTTTCTTTTTGCATGCGTAAAAGAACTCACAATCCTATACGTGGATTTAGTCATTTGTATTAAATAAAAGGACTGGAGATTTATAAAAGAAAAACCGACGAGAGCTTGATAAATGGTTAAATAATATCTGCTTTCTGAAGATTCTGAAATGATTCAACGTTGTTGTAAAAGCTAATTTTATTACTTTCTCATTTTAACTTTAGTTTAGTGAAATGGAGTGATGCAAATATGATAAGTAATAATAACCCCTAACATCTTTATTGAAAGAGAACAGTCACCTTTATGATTTTTTCCAGTGTATATCCACGATCAATATTCTCCACTTCTTTCACCTTGCACAGGAAAGTTTTGGAAGCTCTTTACATTTTTTTACCACTTCTGATTAGAGCCAGTTTTAAAATTTGCTCCAAACCAAACGTCATCTCTCCAATATTCAGCTGCAATAGGAAGACCACCGTCAATTGCAGGAGTTATGAGGTTTCGATAGTCTTCTAACGAGTCCCACGCCTCAAAACCTCAAAAATGTTGCAAAGCCCAGGAATTTGAAAATCTTCCAAAATAACGGAGAACAAAGAAAGAAGATCTGAACCAGTGAACTGCGTCTAAAGGCAAATTAAGAGGACTTTCGTCTTCTACAGCAACAAATCCGGTAGATCTTTTGTAAAATTAGGATTATTTCCATTTGTAGATATTCTGTTTTTTCTGAACCTCTAATTTTTCGTTGCTGTTTGAGCACTTCGACATTGTCAGGAGAATTGGGCAAAATGGCTGAAAATTCATAAAAAAATTACAATGAATTAGATACCTCTCATAAATAATAAAGGAATAAAATGGCCATTAAATACATTATATATTAGTGAATACCAATATACAAAGGCGGTGTAAAATTTTGAAAGCATTATTTTATTGAAAAACAAGATTTTCGGAATAGCAACATACATTAAATTTTACTTAATTCTGAGTTGGTTTGGAGCAGAATCATCATCAATATCAATGCAAAAAGAAAGAAACAAAGTGCAAAAAAAAAAAGAAAATAAAGGACAAATATTATAGAAAAGTGCTCCATATTGTTAAGTCAAGCAAATAAGTGATCTAAACGAGGAAATCAAAACACAAAAATTTAAAGGCAGGAATGTTAAATTTTTATGGCTCCTTCAATGCAAATCTCCGCGTTTGATTTTCTTTGGTGACAGCTTACACTTTACTGATTAAGATTTTTTAACAAAAGTGTAAACATTGCTAAAAATTCATTGTTTCTAGGCAAATCATGTTTTGGGAGCTGTGGTGTTCTGATAAGTAGTATCTGAAAGAATTGAAAAATAGTTGATGTTAATAGCTTGCCTTAGATGCGTATGCTAGAGAAATAGATGAATAATCTTTCATGCATATTACCCAGCTAATGTGTAGCCAATAGCGTATTTTCTTGTGCAATCTGAAGAATACCCCGTGAGTTTGCAAGACGTACTTTTCTTTTTATGTTTTTTATTTTCGCTAAAGGCGATGGCAGGTGGACATGAAAAGGGAAACCTCTACATTCGTACAGTGGCGTGGTGGCGGGGCGGCCAGAAGGGCCAGTCCTCCCCCCCCCCACTCAGACGTTGATTTCTGAAAGGGCGCAGAAATGAATATGAGTCACAAAATTTTAAATTTGAGCTAGAAAAATGGTGAAGCAGAACAGTTATTTCCACAGTTATAATACACAGTTGATGAAGTTAACTTTGGCGAAAAAGGAAGACTGATCAAAATGAAACCTTAAGTGGGTCGTTTTACAGTAGAAGAGGCATTCTTGATGTTTTGTTATGTGGCCACCACACCTGACTTGTCAATGTGCAATGACTGAGCCATGCAGGGTCAAATTTAATGTCCTAGGGGCAATAAGGCCAAAATGTATAGTTTTTGCCTATCAATAATTTTCTTGGCTTTCTCAAGATTAATAATATTTTTGTGGGTAGCCTGCTCACTAGGGTTAACTACAATGTTATACTAACAAATGCAAAATTTTACTTGCAATAGTTAAAATAAACTTCTCAAATATCATTACAGGTATACTAAAGGGTTAGTGTGAATACTGAAAATCAATCATCTAAAATTCAAGACGTCCCGTAGGATTAAAATAGAAATATAGTTGTATAAAATTCTTTTGCAAAGATTCTATATTGAAGCGGAAAAAAATAATTTATTTTTTGAATTTTAAGATTTTTTGACGACGTCGCTACTCTTATTATAGAGGTGCTAGCCTACTTAGCAGTCTATTGAGTTATTGACTAAAGACTGTCTCTTAAACAGACGTCCGACTAGTTTCAGTCGTTTGTCAATGACCATAGAGCGAGAGCTAATAAAATAATAAGACGGACTTTTAGTTGGTGGTGATTGAGACAAAATTATCATTTTGTAAATAAATGATCTATAATATTTTGGTTATCATCACAAAAAAATGACCGTCGGACTTCTCTAGTGATTTCTCCTGTAGTTAATCAAATATTAGTCATTTTACTCTATTCGCGCTATTTTAACTTTCTGTTGTTAGAGCAGTCCTCGCTTCAAGTGTAATCAAATCAAAGGCTACATGCAAGTATCGAGACTCAAAAATACTGTGGCGTGTACTACAAATTTCATTAGTTCAAAGGTGAAGAGGGCGCGAGATTTGCTTTGGCCCCGCAGTCAAACACCACCACGCTACTGCATTAATAAATAACAAAATTATCATGTAGTTGAAGAAAACAATAAGAAAAGAGTATTAGAAATTTGTAAAACAGAATATTAATACAAATGCAGAAATAATAAAATCAAACTATCCACAGTAAGTGAACTCTATTAGTAGCTGGACGATAAATAAGTTTTCATCTTTGAAGCCAAGCATGATGCTTTTTACGTATGGTCCAAGCCCTTATGTGGTTTTGTATGTATGATCTAGGCTCCTGGACACCATACAGACGCGTGGTCTTGTTTTTATGAGAAACAATGAACGATTTTAATATGAGTTATGGTTTTTCATTTGTTGAGATAATTCAAGCATTATTTTACCACAAGACAAAATAACTGATAGCTTTACAGAACATGTAAATATTGGACACTCTTTGATGAATGTGGAAATCTTGGATGAAAGAAGGTAAGTTCAGTGAAAAATCAAAGCATTAATGTTTCTCAAGACATTGTTTTCTTATCTTCCACGATGAGTTTGATGAATTTAAAAAACAATAAAACTTCCTTTTAGATATATCTTAACTGTACAATAATTTTGATCTATTTAATATGTTATACATCAGAAAAAACTAATCGACCAAAACTAAAGCTCTCGAGTCATGCAAACATTTTGCCGACTGAAAACAATAATCCTCAACATCTTAAAATTTGTCACAACTTATTTTTCAGATAAATGAATAGTCATTAAAATCTTTTACATAACAATCGTAAAGTTTAAAAACACGACATATTTTAAGTTTTCAAACGTAAAACTCACACAACATATTGTAAAAACATTGCCATGTAGGATGTGTTTTCTATTTTCGTGAAATACACGCTTACGCGTGTTTTATACCTGAAAAAACACTCTACAGCTGCCATATTGGCTTTATATTATTATATAGCTTTTTGTATCAGGTTATCGTTCCTGTCTGTTAATAGAGCTCACTGGCCACAACACAGCAAAACAATTTGTTAATTCAAATCTTAATCTTACCAGCTCCTTCATAAACCACAAAATCTTCTTTTATCCATCGATAACAAGGAAAAGCATAAATTTCTCTCCGATACTACTTTTTTCTATTGTAATTTTTGCCAAAAACCAAGCAGATAGTATCGTTACGCGCGAAGATTCAAAAACCATTACAATTTCACCAACATCTTTTCGTTTACTTCATATTCATCCTCATCGCCTTCTTCGAAATCATTTGCAAAAATTTGTCCAACTCAAAATACCGAGTTTCCTTACCATTCTTACCTGTAAAAATCATTGGTAATTAATTAGTAAGTAAGTAAATTTCTCATTTATAAATTATATGTATTTACCAGTAAGTTTGATAGAAACTGTAAATTTGTTCCAGCTCAGCTCGATCACCGGTCTTGACTGTTATTAAGTAATCCATTGTGGTTATCTTGAAATTCGTGAATACCCTTAGTAAAGAAACAAATACATTGGCGTCTTGTTGTGTAAGAGCAATGTTGTACATAAAGTTGAAATAAAAGTCGACTCAAATAAACTAACTGCATGTACAATCCTTAACGTGCACAGAGAATATTTACAAATAATGTAATTCTGAATTTTTGAATCTTAAGAGATCTGACTTGATAATCAATGACTTCATTTGGTTACTTTACAAATGATAGTGCGGGAGTAAATCACAGGTGGAAAACAAATAATCTAACATGCATTCTAAAAGCTCGCCACGTTAACACATACTTCAAAAACACTATTCCAAGCGGTATTCCACCAAAACCGATTGCTAGAATTGAAATATATAAAAATTCTTGCCACCATAAAAAATGAGAATTAATAGCAGTGCAATTTCTGATTGGCAGAAATGCTATATTAGAGTACGTTTTTGAATACAGTCGATATCTCTTCTATGGAAATATAGCATTAATCACTCAGTGATGGAAAAATTGTTATGGCGCAGTTGATTTTTAAGAATTTATAAACACTTCATTGATAAACCGTCGACAAAAAGAAAACAATGGGGAGAATGAAGACGCTTTCAGAAATCACCAATCTCCTTTTTTGCTTTAAAGCAAGCAGATTATAAAAAAATACTGTCAAATTTTGACGACCCATTAAAGAGAACCTATGTGTTAACCTATAGTGTGATTTTAATCTCCCGCCAATGTCTGACTTATACAATCAAAATTGTAGAAGATTTGCAATTTAACTTAACTTTGTTATTTCTTTTATTCAATAACGCAAATTTTTAGCGTTCTTATACCATCCTATATTTAAGGTTTGCAATTACAAGTGGTGTCACTTGATTTTTAAATGCAGCAGACAAAAGGATTCTAGATTTGATCTGTAGAAATCTGTTTAATAAATATAATCTTCTACGATATTTTTCTTTAATCCAGTTTCTTTTTGTTTGTCAGTGTTACTATAATGCAAGGCAATTGCGGAGAACAAAGAGTGAACAAGTTTTTCTTATTGCAGTTACTGTATATCATCTTGCAGAGAATGAGTGTTTTGGTAATTCATATCTATGGTTAAAGAAGCGTTTTAAACCATCCATTTGGCATGGTCTCTAGTGAGAAATTGATTTATAGAACATGTCCATAATTTTGATGAGCATTAAGGGAAAGAAGTAAACAATAGCGTTAAAAAAAACTCAGTCAAACGTGCGACATATCCATCTCCTTGATTAGTACTAATGGCAGATGCTTTGATAGTTTCATGTGATTTGGGTATTCAATATCTACCATGTAATAACGCAAGAAACTTAGAATAGTAATAAAATTTTTTTTAGATATTTTCAATCAATGTTCTTCTTTCGAGAGCTCACTGGATACACATGACATGCACAATTTGTCAATGTTTAAAACGCTTATAGAATTTTCGGTGTGTTTCTTCTATAAGATACACATACAGTAAATAGAATTGTGGGTGTTTGGACACCCAGATACCCAAAGCTGCTTCAGGCCCGATCAATGGCCAATTGATTTCTTCATCAATAATACGATTTTTGCAAAATTTTCAATATGAAGTCATCACTCGAGTAAAATAGTGTTTTAGAATAGATATGAAGCAATTCGAAGTCCCATTCAGAAAGTGTGAAGGAGCATTTACAACACAAGCGCAAAGTTGGATTTGAACGATCAACATAAATGAGAATAGTTAAACTAGTGTAGTATGAAACAATCCCATGCATAAAACAGACGATATAGTATAAAGCAAGACAACTTGAGATTGCAAAACATGCATTAAAACAAGACGAGAAGTGAACTGTAAATTGTCGACTTTATTTCAAAGTCATCCTCAGACAAAATGATCATTAAAACCATACACACATATATATTTATAATGCATGAATTAAATAAACGGAAGTAAGCAATAGAAATTATTAGTGTGATACTTACAAAAGCAGAGTTGGGAGAGGTGTAGTATTTCAAAAGATGAATTAATACTACAGACCCTGCTGGTAGAATTAAGTATTGTATTGAAGAGAAGAGTTGTTCTTTGCTAGCTTTAAGTCCGTGTTGAGAGGTTTGTTATGTTTGATGAGAAGTGCTTCAAGAAAAGCAAGAATGTGGTAGTTGTTGGATTTAGTTAAGTGAGTATTTTATAGTTGTTGATTACAAGGTTTTCTGTAGGAGGGAGTTCTGGGAGGTGGAGGGAGACAATTGAGTTGTGAGAACTGGTTTGTAGAGTCAGCCAGGAATTGAGCGTTTTCACTCAGAGAAATGATAGCCAAATTCACTAGAAGAGAGTCTGGTTGCATGTTCTCTGAGCCGTACAGACAGCCATCTTGTGTCATGCCGATGTAAGTTTTACCAAAGTTAGGGCAGAGTTATATTGTATACAAAATTACTGCGAGAAAAGTAAAGGAAGTTTGTCGTTGTTATAGACAAAATAGGAGATTTTTAGTGACATAAATAGTAACAAATGTCACCGGTTGAGAAAATAGAGTCTTTGCATTTTCTTAAAACAGGATTTTAAGAGGAAATCGCAACGCATGCCAAGATAGGAATATGAACCCAGATTTTAGGTAGATTTTCATCTATTGAAGAGCAGTTTGTCAATGGAAATAGAATCGTTGTATTTGGATTTTAGTCTTTTAAACAAAAGTTTGTAACGGTGTTAGGATAACCATTCCAAGACATGTAAGATATGATTATTTCAATTTGATTGTTGAAAAGTGTATTGCTACAAATTTTGAAGGCATGGTGGTAAAGTTTCTATGCAATTTTTCGATGAAAGATTCGAAGCTAAGAAATCTGAGAACTGACCGGTGGAGTGTCTTATCGGTAAATGTCAGCTCCATCAACCAGAAATTTTTATATCTAGAATATGATTTATGCTATCGTGAAATTTATCAATTGTGAATGTGAGATTGGCATCAAAACTATTAAAATTCGATAAGATAGCGGAAATATTGGAGGGTTTGATCAAAACAAGCGTGTCATCAACATAACGGTTGTAGATTTTAATTTTGCCATCATTAATGAGATCGTAAACTATTAATTTTCAAATTTGATTAAAATTATATTAGCAAGGACAGTTCTAACGAGGAACACATAGAAACATAAATCGTTTGGGTATTAATTATGTTATTAAAAGGGCAGGTTCGTTGCAGCAATCTAAGATGAGTTTTTTCAATGTAGACTTTTTAAGTTGTTGAAATTATGTGTTCATCGTAAATGCTGTCTAAATCATTTTGACTGTGCGTGGATGGAGCGTTAGTTAAAGGATTCAACGTCAGATGAAACAAATTGATAGCCTTCAGCGAACAGATGTTTAGGAATGCTATTATTATTAGTTACTCCGTCAAAAGGTCCGAAAGCGAAAAACAGTTTTGGAATTTGCTTATGCACTATATTTCTTTAAATATCGGCTGGTCATGGTTTTGGTGTGAAACAGATGATGTTTTCCTAAAATTGTCCTTGTTTAGTAAAAACGTGATAGTTCAGTCAAATCATCATAACATGCACATCTGCAAACTTTGTATTGACTATTTTTTGTTTTTAAACTAAAAGAAGAAAAAATAGGTGCGCGTTGCGTGCATGTGTGTGCCTGTCAAGTATATTATTACTAACTGAAGTAGATGAAATGAGCCTTATTAAAATAAAAATGTATATTTAACATTATTTTCTTCAAATTTGTTTGAGATTTGAAATGATATTATTTAGTCATCCGATCAATTAATTGTTTGACTCTTTCTGCATTTTCGAACGCTCTAGCTCAGATTGCATGTCAGTGACTGTGCTCAAATCTCGCATCCACTGTTCTCGCTTCAAGGAAAGTAACGTCATTTTAGATTTCTTGCTACCTTTAAAAGTTTTTCAACGAAAAGCATTTTGCTGTAATTGTGTTTCAAAAGTTCTCTGACGTGTCTAAGATATCGTTCAGAGAACGTCACTCAATAAACGATAAATGAACACAACACGTTTATGACTTGTATTAGATTACATTTGAAAGTAAACGCTTTGCGTTGCGCATATCAAATGATCCAAGTTTCATAGTTTGTTTATAGTTTGACACGTACCATCTTCCACTTAATGTGAAATGTAGTTATAAAGAAATATTATTTGTATTTTGTACAATATTCAAAAAGCAAAATGAATTCATTTTTATCGTTTTTGACTTCACCAACTATACTGTGAGCATGTATGAATAAAGCAAACTCTGTATAAGCAATTTAAATTCTACCCACTGGACTATATATATACCAGGCATACATTCTACTAAGTACAAGTTGCTAATACCGGTCCTTGATCGAGATATAATTGATATTTGAGGTCGCTTGTGAGCAGGCATTTCAACTATGTCTTGACTTTTATTTATTATTCTTTTATGAAGTTTTGTAAAATTTTTTTCGTTTTCACTTCGCATAATTGAGGCTCACGTTTAGTTCCTTGAATGGATGACAGGGAATATGTTATACAAGTCAATATTTGGGCAGTAATGTTTTTAGTTAATATTTCTCAAAATAACAACATTCTCTTAGAATTATGCCACCAACAAATCTAATCTTATTGCAAATGACTTCTGCTTGATATTTGTAGGAAATTTTGTCATTACATTCATACTGTACGTATATGCGCTTGGATTCATTGTTATAGTCTTTATGAATGAAAAACAACTCTATTTTTCCGACAAAGCGACGAACGCACAAATAGTTTATAACGTTAAAAGCAGTAGATTGAATAAAGTTTAAAATATCTTTAAATTATAATGTAGTTTTAAAAGAAATATAATATTTTATATTTACTTACAGTTTCAAATCTGTATTTTGCTTCTGTTATCAACTCAATTCTTCTCAACACATTAACAAAGTGTTGAGATGATGCTTGCTTCAAGGACACTTGCAAATATGAGAATGGTCCTAACGATGCTTGGTACTATAGTTCTTCTAAATGAAATGTTAATGAGTTACAATTATGACTAATAGCTATATTAAGCACATCACGTATCTTTTTGTTTATGTTTGGAAGATTCTGTTAACTACGGGTGAAGGAGATAAAAAGTCAGTGTTCTTGAGTACTCATGCATTTTAGCAAATATACATTAAATTTAGATGTTGAAAAAATTACAAGCGAAGCAAACTGTTTAACCTTCTGTAACTTCAGTCAAAAGTTAGCTACTTTCATTGAAAACTTTGTCAATTGCAACTGCATAATTAAACTATTTTCGATTATAATTTAATAGGAAAGATTTTAGCGTTACTATGTCGAACAATGGCCTTGTGTAAAATTGGTTGAAACATTTCTGCTTAAGCTAAAATTGCTAATAGTTTATTGTTACATTATTTGACAACTCCTATTATACAATTAATTCGATTGAAGTTTTTTTCATAGACTAGTGGTTTTCCGACAGTTTTTACGTTATATACGTGCTAGTCGTAGCGTCCCTCGTGGTAGAATGCTGGACGTGTTTCCACAAAGTTGTTCCAAAGATCAATTTGAAAGTTCATAAAGTATGAAAAGATTTAGCTGGTAGTTTGCAACAGAATCTGATTTGAAACAAAATAGTTGCTTTCTGTAAACGGTCACATAACAAAGTCAATACAGTCAGCATCGTTGTCTATAATACTGCTTTGAATACATGTGTTAACAAATCTAATAATAAAATTGCTCCTCTGAAACGTGTGGCTTTTATAATAACATAAAACCTACAAAGGAAATAGCATCAAACATACAATCATTTTTTATGGGTGCAAGCTTTTGAACGCCTATTTAAGTCGCATATCTTAGACGCTTGCATTGTCTCGACTCTCAACAACCTAGTGACGCTACTGGGGTTATATATCTATGTTGCATCAGGAATCTTAATTAGGTAACATCTTAATTCTTTTGCTGGTATTACCTCCTTTCCTCAACCTCATAACATGTGGAATTATATTAACCTTTATAAACGCGTGATATTTGCAATCATTGATACAATATTAGTCGTTTTTAATTACTCATTACGACAAATAAGCACGATCTATAACGACTTTAACAACGGCAACTTTTCAAAATATTTTAACCAGTAAAGTATAAAAAATATTATAAAGATACGGAATGGATAGTCAGAATTTTAGCTTTTATTAATCACCTTAGTTTGCAATATTATTTGAGGCAAAGAAAAACTTTTTTGTGCATTTATTGTTTGCATTGCAACGACTCTTTTCTTTGTTTATTGATTTATATTTATTAGCTGTGGCCAGATGATGTTATGTTTCTAAGATCTCAACTATTATTATACGTGGCATTTATTGCCTTACAGATCAATATCGAAAATCAACCTACTGTGACTACACATCTAAATGAACAATTTCACTTTGATAATACTTTGTGGATAATACTTGCATTTAGTTAGATTTTATATCACGACACACAATATATGTAGTAACGTAGGATTAAAGATTTATGATGATTTACTAAAAAAGTTATTCGTCATTCTTTCATATTTAAATTTTGCCAACTCTGTTATACTTATTGCTTAGTGGGAGGTAGATTATTTTTACACTATGCATCCAATTACAGTCATGAAATATTTCTAAGTATAACATTAGGTGTTGCCAAACCATGGTGAATAATATTTGTTGAAAGTTGATTTTGGTACAGCATATGTGTTTGAATCTAGCCCCTTTTTTCAATTGTTGCAATTTCATTTACAAATTAAATAATGAAAGGAGGAAAAGCTATGTTAAAGCTACCGGAGACTACTCTCGACATCAATCCCATAAGGTTTAAAATACATAAATTCTACTGAGCCATACAAAGAAGATTCTTTAAATAACCATTAAAGTCGATTATTGTGACAAAACCACTGCTTTTTTAAAATTTGTAATCATTACTTAAAATTTATCAGTACGAATTTTATCCTAACAAGCTCGATTAAATTAACTTTTATAAACGATTAATAGTTCTAATCATTGATACAATTAGTCTTTTTGTAACTATTCGTGTAAAAAAGAAGGACTATCTATTACGACTTAAATATTTTAGTCGGCAAAGTGCCAAAATTTGTTTTTAAAGATATAAAATAGATAATCAGAGAATGAGCTTTCAGCATTCACCTTGGTACACGTGTACACTTGTTAAATTGCACACTTGTAAGAATATTGCGTGGTATGACTCGATTGGCAGTAGACCACTGTATTCCCAGCAGGACTTGCAGGCAGTTTCCTGTACGTCTAATCCTTGATTATATCATAATTACCCTTTAGATATTCGTAATTATTCGTGTAAAATGAGGACGATATATTAAGAATTATATATTTTAGTTAGCCAAGTGCCAAAATTTGTTTTGAAGATATAAAATAGATAATCAGAGAATGAGCTTTAGCATTCACCTTGGTACACGTGTACACTTGTTAAATTGCATACTTGTAAGAATATTGCGTGGTATGACTCTATTGGCAGTAGACCACTGTATTCCCAGCAGGACTTGCAGGCAGTTTCCTGTACGTCTAATCCTTGATTATATCATAATTACCCTCTTAAATATTCGTAATTATTCGTGTAAAAATAAGGACGATATATTAAGAATTGTATATTTTAGTTAGCCAAGTGCCAAAATTTGTTTTGAAGATATAAAATAGATAATCAGAGAATGAGCTTTAGCATTCACCTTGGTACACGTGTACACTTGTTAAATTGCATACTTGTAAGAATATTGCGTGGTATGACTCTATTGGCAGTAGACCACTGTATTCCCAGCAAGACTTAATGCAGGCAGTTTCCTGCACGTCTAATCCTTCATTATATCATAATTACCTTTAAATACGTAATTATTGGTGTAAAAATAAGGACGATCTATTATGACTTATATATATTTTAATCAGCAAAGAGCCAAAAATTTATTTTAAAGATATAATATAGATAATCAGAGAATGAGCTTTCAGCATTCACCTTGGTTGCAAAGTTATTTGAAACAACTGTTTTCTTTATTCACTGATTTATACTGATTATCTCTAGCCAGATGCTGTTGTATTTTTAGAGAAATGTAGCTATTATGATACGCGTCGTTTCAATACATTATAAATCAATATCGAAAAACACCCTATTGCTGAAACACACCTCACTCAACAATTTCACTTTAATAATACTTTGTGTGTATAATACTTGCATTTAGTAAGATTTTATATTACAACACACAATGTATAATAACAGTAACGTGGCAAGATTTATGATGATTTACTAAAAAATTATTTGTCGTTCTTTCACATTTAAATTTTACAACTCTGTTATTGCGTAGTGGGAGGTAGATTATTTTTACACTATGCATCCAATTACAGTAAGAAGATATTCTAAGTATATCATTAGGTGTTGCAATACCAAGGTGAATAATATTTGGAGAGGGTTGATTTTGGTACAGCATATCTGTTTAAATCTAGCAACTTTGTTTTTCAATTGCTGCAATTTCATTTACAAATTAAATAATGAAAGGGGGAAAAGCTATATTAAAGCTACCAGAGACTAATGTCGACATCAATCCCATAAGGTTTTAAAACATAAATTCTACTGACACATATAATGAAGATTCCGTAAATAACCATTAAAGTCAATTATTGTAACAAAACCACTGCTTTCTTAAAATTTGTAATCATTATTTAAAACTTATCAGTACAAGTTTCATCCTAAAAGCTCGACTAAATTAACTTTTATAAACGAATAATAGTTCTAATCATTGATACAATTAGTCTTTTTGTAACTATTTGAGTAAAAAATAAGCACTATCTATTATGACTTAAACATTTTAGTCAGCAAAGTGCCAAAAATTTGTTTTTAAAGATATAAAATAGATAATCAGAGAATGAGCTTCAGCTTTCACCTTAGCAGACTTGTACAGTTGTTAAATTGCACACTTGAAAGAATATTGCGTGGTATGACTCTATTTGTAGACCACTGTATTCCCAGCAAGACTTAATGGCAGTTACCTGTACGTCTAATCCTTGATTATATCAAAATTACCTATTCAAATACACGTAATTATTCGTGTAAAAATAAGGACGATCTATTACGACTTCTATATTTTAGTCAGCAAAGTGCCAAAATTTGTTTAAAGATATAAATAGATAATGAGAGAATGAGCTTTCAGCATTCACCTTGGTTGGCAAAGTTATTTAAAACAACTCTTCTCTATTCACTGATATATATTGATTTATCTCTAGCCAGATGTTGCTGTATTTTAGAAAATCTATACTATTATGATACGCGTCGTTTCATTACATTATAAATCAATATAGAAAACACCCTATTGTGGCAACATAGGCAGTTTCTTATACGTCTAATCCTTGATTATATCATAATTATCCTTTAAATACACGTAATATTCGTAAAAATAAGGACGATCTATTACGATTATATATTTTAGTCAGCAAAGTGCCAAAATTTGTTTTCAAAGATATAAAATAGATAATCAGAGAATGAGCTTTCAGCATTCACCTTGGTTGGCAAGGTTATTTAAAACAACTCTTTTCTTTGTTCACTGATATATATTGATTATCTCTAGCCAGATGCTGTTGTATTTTTAGAGAAATCTAAGCTATTATGATAAGCGTCGTTTCATTACATTATAAATCATTATCGAAAATCACCCTATTGTTGCAACACATCTCAATCAACAATGCCACTTAGATAAAACTTGGAGCAGCTATAACTCCAGTTGACTTATATTGCGATGCGTAATATATGTAGAAACGCAGGTTTTAACGATTTACAATGACTTACAATAAAAGTTATTCGTAGTTCTTTCAAACTTAAATTTCTCACCAATGCTATATTTCTCGGGTCGTATGAGATGGATTTTGCTCACCGCAAGCCAATCACAGTGGAGAAATATCTCGAAATATATCGTTAGGTGTTGTAAAACCAAGTTGATCAAGAACTGTAGCGAGTTGATTTGGCTACAGTGTGTTTGCATTTGCTTCATTTCTAATTTTTGGCAATATTTTCTTATCACATAAAAAGGAAGGAAGCAATGTTAGTAATTTAAAACTACCGCGGTCAACATCGATGCTATACTCGTTAAAATACATGAATTCTAATGAGCTACAGTAGAATTCTTGAATACCCGACAACTTCAAGCTTTTGTAACAAATCTACTGTTTTGAGAAAGCTTGTAATCATTTGTATGATGAGTTTCTGATGGCAATGAAAACTAAAAAACGAAGTGAATATTTACTTAAAAACATTACTCAATTATTTCATAGTGATTACTAAATTATTCAAAAACATTATGGTAATCACAGAAGCTTGGAGTTCTATTGACCTTGACTGGCGTCATAAATAGAAGAAGAAGAATTCTCACTCATAGAAATTTCGTATTTGTTGCTTAACTGCAATGTCGTTTCTCTTAGCTACATTTACTTTAATATTTATTGATTTTAAAATTTATTGATCATATTGCAAATCTTTATAATAAAAGACATCATTAAGCAAATGAAAGGTTAAGTACAAAAGAGTCAACATGCATAAGATAGATGCCACGTATTACACAGTTGTATCACTATATGACCCCATTAAATGCTATATTTAATAATGTTACAAACATTTTGGTACCGTTAAATAATATTTCATCCTGTGCTTTATACGCATAATATTCTCCCACGATTATTCAAATATGATCAAGAGTTGTTTCCAGAAATATATGATAAAAATTAGATACCTATACATCTATATTTGTCAGCGTGTATAGCCTTTTGCATCTGCAAATACTTAAAACATTATCGTACTTGTTAAACTAGGGAAATTACACACTTGTAAGATTATTACATGGTATTACTCAATTGGCAGTAGACCAGAAGCACTTAATGCAGGCAATTTCCTGCACGTCTAATCTTTCATTTAATCATAATTAGCCTTTTAAATACGTAGAGCTAAAGTTATATCTTTGTGAAACCTGTCGGAATGGAATAGCGTCATAGTGAACATATAGCTACAATTAAGACTTTTTTGAAAGCGCATGCTTTGGTACTCCCGTTTAAGTCTCACATCTTTGACAGTTGCATCGTCTTCACTATTCTGAACAACCTGGTGACCCTACTGAGGCTATGCGTCTATAAAATGCACGAGGAATCTTAATAAGGAGACAACTTAATGCCAATGCCAAAAGTAACCTCATTTCCACTGCCTCATAATATTATTGCAAAAATAATTCTTATCAGTACCAGTTTTATCCAAAAAACCCCGCTTAGATTAATTTTTATAAACAATTAATAGTTCTAATCATTGATACAATTAGTCTTTTTGTAACTATTCGTGAAAAAAATAAGCACGATCTATTACGACTTAAATATTTTAGTCAGCAAATTGCCAAAAATTTGTTTTCAGAGATATAAAATAGATAATCAGAGAATGAGCTTTCAGCATTCACCTTGGTACACTTGTACACTTGTTAAATTGCACACTTGTAAGAATATTCGGTGGTATGACTCCATTGGCAGTAGACCACTGGATTCCCAGCAAGACTTAATGCAGGCAGTTTCCTGTTCGTCCAATCCTTCATTATATCATAATTACCCTTTTAAATACACGTATTTATTCGTGTAAAAAAATAAGGACGATCTATTACGGCTTACATATTTTAGTAATCCAACTTCCAAAAATTTGTTTTAAAGATATAAAATAGATAATCAGAGAATGAGCTTTCAGCATTCACCTTGGTACACGTGTACACTTGTTAAATTGCACATTGTAAGAATACGTGGTATGACTCGATTGGCAGTAGACCACTGTATTCCCAGCAAGACTTAATGCAGGCAGTTTTCTGCATCTAATCAGATTATATCATAATTACCCTTTTAAATACGTAATTATTCGTGTAAATATAAGGACGATCTATTACACTTATATATTTTAGTCAGCAAAGTGCCAAAAATTTGTTTTTAAAGATATAATATAGATAATCAGAGAATGAGCTTTCAGCATGCACCTTGTTTGGCAAAGTTATTTGAAACAACTGTTTTCTTTATTCACTGATTTATATTGATTATCTCTAGCCAAATGTTGTTGTACTTTTAGAGAAATCTAAGCTATTATGATACGCGTCGTTTCATTACATTATAAATCAATATCGAAAAACACCCTATCGTGGCAACACATCTCAATCAACAATGCCACTTAGATAAAACTTGGAGCAGCTATAACTCCAGTTGACTTATACTACGATGCGTAATATATGTAGAAACGCAAGTTTTAACGATTTACGGTGACTTACATTAAACGTTATTCATAGTTCATTCAAACTTAAATTTCTCACCAATGCTATATTTCTCGGGTCGTATGAGATGGATTATGCTCACTGCAAGCCAATCATAGTTGAGAAATATTTCGAAATATATCGTTAGGTGTTGTAAAACCAAGTTGATCAAGAAGTGTAGCGAGTTGATTTGGCTACAGCGTGTTTGCATTTGCTTCATTTCTGATTTTTGGCAATATTTTCTTATCAAATAAATAGGAAGGAAGCAATGTTAGTAGTTCAAAGCTACCGCGGTCAACATCGATGCTATACTCGTTAAAATACATGAATTCCAATGAGCTACAGTAGAATTCTTGAATACCCGACAACTTCAAGCTTTTGTAACAAATCTACTGTTTTGAGAAAGCTTGTAATCATTTGTGTGATGAATTTCTGATGGCAATGAAAAGTAAAAAACGAAGTAAATATTTACTTAAAAACATTACTCAATTATTTCATAATGATTTAAATTATTCAAAAACATTATGGTAATCACAGAAGCTTGGAGTTCTATTGACCTTGACTGGCGTCGTAAAGAAGAAGAATTCTCACTCATAGAAATTTCGTATTTGTTGTTTAACTGCAATGTCGTTTCCCTGAGCTACATTTACTTTAATATTTATTGATTTTAAAATTTATTGATCATATTGCAAATCTTTATAAAAAAAGACATCATTAAGCAAATGAAAGGTTAATAAAAGAGTCAACATGCATAAGATAGATGCCACGTATTACACAGTTGTATCACTATATGACCCCATTAAATGCTATATTTAATAATGTTACAAACATTTTTGTACCGTTAAATAATATTTCATCGTGCTTTATATACGCATAATAATCTCCACGATTATTCAAATATGATCAAGTTGTTTCCAGAAATATATGATAAAAATTAGATACCTATACATCTATATTTGTCAGCGTGTATAGCCTTTTGCATCTGCAAATATTTAAAACACTATTGTACTTGTTAAACTAGTTAAATTACACACTTGTAAGACTATTACATGGTATTACTCGGTTGGCAGTAGACCAGAAGCACTTAATGCAGGCAGTTTCCTGCACATGTAATCTTTGATTTTATCATAATTAGCCTTTTAAATACGTAGAGCTAAAGTTATATCTTTGTGAAACCTGTCGGAATGGAATAGCGTCATAGTGAACATATAGCTACAATTAAGACTTTTTTGAAAGCGCATGCTTTGGTACTCCCGTTTAAGTCTCACATCTTTGACAGTTGCATCGTCTTCACTATTCTGAACAACCTGGTGACCCTACTGAGGCTATGCGTCTATAAAATGCACGAGGAATCTTAATAAGGAGACAACTTAATGCCAATGCCAAAAGTAACCTCATTTCCACTGCCTCATAATATTATTGCAAAAATAATTCTTATCAGTACCAGTTTTATCCAAAAAACGCCGCTTAGATTAATTTTTATAAACGATTAAAAGTTCTAATCATTGATACAATTAGTCTTTTTGTAACTATTCGTGTAAAAAATATTCACGTTCTATTACGACTTAAATATTTTAGTCAGCTAATTGCCAAAAATTTGTTTTAAAGATATAAAATAGATAATCAGAGAATGAGCTTTCAGCAATCACCTTTGCACACTTGTTAAATTGCACACTTGTAAGAATATTGCGTGGTATGTCTCGATTGGCAGTAGACCACTGTGTTCCCAGCAAGACTTAATGCAGGCAGTTTCCTGCACGTCTTCTCTTTGATTATATCATAATTACCCTTTTAAATACGTAATTATTCGTGTAAAATAAGCTTTACGATCTATTACGACTTAAATATTTTAGTCAGCTAATTGCCAAAAATATGTTTTTAAAGATATAATATAGATAATCAGAGAATGAGCTTTCAGCATTCATCTTGGTTGGCAAAGTATTTGAAACAACTCTTTCTTTATTCACTGTTTTATATTGATTATCTCTAGCCAGATGTTGTTGTACTTTTAAAGAAATCTAAGCTATTATGATACGCGTCGTTTCATTACATTATAAATCAATATCGAAAAACACCCTATCGTGGCAACACATCTCAATCAACAATGCTACTTAGATAAAACTTGGTGCAGCTATAACTCCAGTTGACTTATACTACGATGCGTAATATATGTAGAAACGCAAGTTTTAACGATTTACGGTGACTTACATTAAACGTTATTCATAGTTCATTCAAACTTAAATTTCTCACCAATGCTATATTTCTCGGGTCGTATGAGATGGATTATGCTCACCGCAAGCCAATCACAGTTGAGAAATATTTCGAAATATATCGTTAGGTGTTGTAAAACCAAGTTGATCAAGAAGTGTAGCGAGTTGATTTGGCTACAGCGTGTTTGCATTTGCTTCATTTCTGATTTTTGGCAATATTTTCTTATCAAATAAATAGGAAGGAAGCAATGTTAGTAGTTCAAAGCTACCGTGGTCAACATCGATGCTATACTCGTTAAAATACATGAATTCCAATGAGCTACAGTAATTCTTTAAAACCGGATAACTTCAAGCTTTTTATCAAGTCTACTGTTTTGAAAGCTTGTAATCATTTGGATGATGAAATTCTGATGGCAATGAAAAGTAAAAGACGAAGTGAATATTGACTTAAAAACATTACTCAATTATTTCAGAATGATTTAAATTATTCATAAACATTATGGTAATCACAAAAGCTTGGAGTTCTTTTGACCTTGAATGGCGTCGTAAATAGAAGAAGAAGAATTTTCACTCATAGAAATTTCGTATTTGATGTTTAAATTACAATGTCGTTTCTCTTACCTACATTTACTTCAATATTTATTGATTTTAAAATTGATTGAAGTATTGCAAATCTTATAATGATAGATATCACGTATTTCACAGTTGAATTACCGCATAAATTGGCAATGTTTATGATTATTACTAACATTTATTTACCATTGAAATAATGTTTGATCATTCTATATACACGCAAAACCTTCACTCGCACTATTTCTCAAATATGATCAAGATTTACTTCTAGAAATATTCGATAAAAGTATTTTAATTTAGGTATAAAAGTATATGGGTCAGCGACTATAGCCTTATTGCATGAACAATATTAAACGCGGTAATTGAAAATAATGTTATGTTATTCAACATCGACCTCATAATGAAAATTTCCCAGTGTTTATAACTACTTATTTCGTACAAAATGATCATTCACGTCTTAAACAGCAAATAAATGGTTGTGCCACTTCTAAAATAAGTCATTGAAAAGAATAAAACATTTTTGCTTTAAACATCTTGACTTTAACCTTACGTCACCAGAATAAATATATACAGAAGCGCCACTCAGCGAAAAATCTGTCCCCTACTTGTACCCAGTTCTCAAGTGCGCATCTTTTGCGTCCGCCATTACTCTAGCCAGAATAAACTGGCCAGAATGTATATAGACTAATATTATGAAGAGTTGTTTTTCGAAAATTTGACGAATTTAAATTCACTTATGGACAAAATTTTTAATACCATCGGATAGGATACCAAGCATATGAGGCGAGGAACAGTTTTGTTGTAAAATACGTTCGTCAAATATAACTTTACGGGTTTTATAGTTTCTTGCCTTGAATTGTATGCGAGATCCATGTTTAGAACGTCTCTTATATTGAACGGCAGTTGCCCTAGAATTTATAATTTAGGACAAAATTAATAAATATATTTAGTGTGATTCCATTTCTGTATTTTCTAGTAAAGACTTTCCTATTAGATGGTCAACTTGGATTTGATAGAAGCGATAAAACGACCTACTGTGCGTAAAGAACGTTCTTCAAATGAAGACGTTATTATTATAAAATTTGGACTAAACTAATTTATATTTGATTCTTGAATCGGGGCTTTTATTTGCAATGTAGCTTGTCTGCATAATTGTAATTGAAAGTTTTTCTTTGTAATTGTATATTGAGTTCCTGTGGCTATCATGTCTGTCAAATTTGTATTAACTTACAAATAAAGATGTTTTTTGTTGTCTTATTTTTAATAAACAATATATGAAATTACAATTTTTTAAAGAATGAAGTTATTGATAAATTGTTACAATTAAATTAACAACTTTACCATTATGTCAAACATATTGTCAAGCTCCTACAGCTTACCTCTTTGGTTAAACTTCACTTGTGAGTT